ATTATGCCAGTCAGATTATCTCAAGCGACTAGCTCACGAAGGTGACCCCGAGATGAAGAATCGCCTACAGCATGATGACGACGGAGGATACCGAGTAACCGATCACTGGTGATTGTATTTAAGTCCGAGGCTGCTTACGATGGTCAGCCAAAAGATGTGTTTGCAGGATAATTTTATAATGAAGACGTGGAAGTTCATGCTTGGTCAGAAGTTGAAGGAGTGGGCCACTACCATTGACTTCAAGGGCCGATGAATCACTTGCCTCGTGAACAAGAGTTGGAGTTCATAGCAGATGTTATGCAACAAATCTTCATTTTCTTGCGTTGGTATTGATCAACAACATTGCTTCTCAGAGACCTCGAAGCTAAAGGAAGGGGTGATGTTAGAGACATAATCCTTAGAACCTTCTAGAGACAAGTTTCTAGAACCTTCTAGAAGCAAGTCTCTGGAACCTTCTAGAAGCTTCTTAGTTGGTAGAAGATATTAGGGACATAGTCCTTAGAACCTTCTAGAGATAAGTTTCTAGAACCTTCTAGAGATAAGTTTCTAGAACCTTCTAGAAGCAAGTCTCTGGAACCTTCTAGAAGCTTCTTAGTTGGTTGAAGTTGCTTGAGAAGCTTCCTAAATAGAAGTATATGTTGGAATCGAGGCTGAAGAGTTCTTTAGTCTTGACAACACATCTCTTGGAGCTCTAACTCACCTCTCTGATGTTGTTCATGTATTCATCTGATTAATCTAGTTCTTGCTAGTTCTTCTTGAACTTCTTGTTAGATCTCGAGTCTATATTTCTGTATCCGTGACACTACATCTATTTATGGATGGATTTGATATTACCTTGGAGTTGCATTTACAACCCAAAAACAATGCAAGAGATATTTACAAAAAATAAATTGACAATCTTAAATAAACTAGGTAATCTTTTAATCATGTTGTCTACCTTATTAACCTTAAAAAAATTTAGAAATATCTCATCACATTCTAATTGACTCCAAAAAACTTTAAATAATCCTTAACAAGTTTCATTATTTTTGAAAGAAATCTTAATCAACCAAAAGAAACTGTAAAAAAATCATTAAAAAAAATCTTAACCAATCTTCAAGAAATCCTTAGTAAATCCTAGTTAAATCCTAATTAAATTTTAATTATTTTTAAATAAATCCTAAAAAAAACTAATCAAATACTAATTAAATTTTAAGTTAATCTCAACAAATTTTAATCAAATTCTTAATAAATCCAAAACAAATCTTAAGTAAATCACAATGAAATCTTAAAGATATCTTAAATAAATCTTAATAAAAACCTAATCAATCTTAATCGATTCTAATTATTTTTTTTAAAGAATTTAAAATCTCAATAATTATAAATTAAAATTTTGATCTCAACTTAAAAATTTTAAGGTTTTTAATCCACTTGTTAAAAATAAGCCTAAAATATGTGAAAAAATAGACATTGATTTTTATTTAAAAAACTCCTAATCTAATTTGAATGTTAGTTATCTTCTTTTTCTAACTTTAATGTCAATCTTTTAGTTTTAGCAATTTGTTTTAGTATTCACTTGCTCTAAAATATTTCACAAATATTAAACACTAAATCAGTTATTAGTTCAAAACAAATCATTTCAATGCAATAAGAAAATTTCTCAAAAAGATAGAAACTTTCATAGATCTTAAAAATCCAATATTGAGACCTTAATTAACTTAAATTTTAATCATCTTCAATCTAACCATCTAATTAAATTCAATTTCATAAAGAAATATTAATACCATTATTTTTATAAATACAAAAATTTGATTGGTCAATCTACTATAAAATTCACAAAATTTGTCAAAGTGTAGTTTTTATTTTATTCTACAAAAAGCAAAATTATCAAAAAAAACCTAATTTTGCAAAGTTCTTGCAAAGTTATTTACCACTGAAATCACTCAAAGACTAATGATTAGAAAAATCCTACCAAGTTTGTTTTTCAATCTTGCTATTTGATTAATAAAATAATTCTATATTTGTTGTAGATATACAATTTTGTATCCTAGTATCTAGTTTTGATCCTTATTTAAAACTTAATATTGAATTAATTTTTATTAATTTTTTATTTTTTTCTTATATTTTCTAAAACAAATTAAAAATATATTTTTATTTAAGCTCTTCCATAATATTATATATTTTTTTCTCTCTTTTATCTAATAGTCATGTAATAATACAACAATGTATTCTTTTCTATGTTCATTGTGCTAAAGACATTGCTCTACTTAGCATGGTTGCAATTACCATGAATTGTATTCATGATGAAAAAAACAAAACAAAACAAAAAAAATAAAAATAAAAATAAAAAAATTGAAGAGCTTATGAACAAATTAGAATTCAGCCATGTTGTGGAATCAAGAATTGGAAATGAGAGAATTTGAAGGTTGTCAAGAGGCAAGATGCATCAAGAAACCAAAGGCAAGAGAAATATACACAAGTACATTTTTTATTGTCCTAATTAAATCCTAATTAAATCCTAAATAATATTTATTAATTATATAAAGATAAATTTGTAATTAATCTTTTTTCGTAGAGTTTATACATCTACATTATTTACAAGTAGATTAATTAAAATTGGTTTTGAATATGGATCTATAATAACTAAGAATTATTTTCTTAAATAGTCCTGTCTTAAAATTAAATGACTAAAGCTTAGGTACATTTTTCTTTATTATAATTTTAAAAATAAAAAAAAAATCTATTTTTTTCTTACATCTTAAAAAAACTAAGTAAAAATACTTAAATAAAATTATCATGTTAATATTCTATTTATTAAAAAAATATAAATTTTATATTTTATGCCATAAAATTGATTTAAAAAAATTGCCTCATGATTATCATAATTTAATTCTCTTGTCTATGTTTTTTTTAAAAAAAAATCTAACTATATATATATAGTAAAAAAATCATTGATAAATTATAAGTATGTTTGATTTTAATATTATAATGCTTATACAAATGAATTCTTATTTGTAAAATTGATTATTTAGTATTAATCTATAATAAATTTATTATTTAATAAATATAATTTTAATTTTAATATTAAATTTGCATAAAATACGATTATTCTAATTTGATTTTAAAGTAATATACTTTAAAAATATGCTTCCATTTTTATTTAAGATCCAATAATAGTGCAATCCAACAACATCCTACACCTTCTTGTTCTTTGTAATATTGCCATCCTGTAATATGACATTCATGTCATACTTTTGAATTGCCTCTTAGTTGTAAATAATAAGATGGCATTACAAATTAAAAGCCTTCTTTTTAGAATGGGGTTTTGGTTAAGATTTATTGGATGCAATAGGAGGTTATTGATATTCAACTCTTCAGTGATTCTATTTGGGTCATTGGAATCTAGCTAAAATTATTGGTAGACTTTGACTATTTTATTACACCACCAACCCATCAAAAGTAATCAAGAATAAACCTATACACGAGTTTATTGATTATGAGATTCTTGTTAAGCATTTTTACAAGTTACTGTGAAATTGAGAGTCATGATATCCATTCTGTGTTATCATATGTGTTATTTATTTATTTTTCTTCTTTTTTCATCCATCAAATTCAATTAGAGGTCTTCCAAAAAAACTATGGGTACATATAATGTTTTATAAAAGATAATATACTAAAATGAAAATAAAATTTTGTTCCAACAAAATTTAAACAAATCACATTCTTTTACGAACTGGAGATCATAAGAGAATTTGAACTGGTTTTTGTCCTTAATCATTGATGTGTTTAATGACTTATTACTTTTCAATTTGAACTTTTCGTTAGAGTTATCCTTTAGTAGTTTAAATTTAAAAAAGTAAAAGCCATTATTCCTTGTTGATGACTCAATCAAGGCACCATAAGTTCTAAGTGTTATTTTGGATGTCTTTAGTCCTTTTGGCTTTATTGGCATTTTTGGAACAAATGTACATGACATTAAACATATTAAAGTGAATGATGGATATATATATATATATATATATATAATAAAACGAAAAATAAATAGTGGATTGTAAACCTGCAATTTATGCATTCTAGGTTGAACATTACAGTTTCACAAAATCATGTCATTAAAAATTTGAAGTGCAAAAATGGGTTCATGGCACTCATTTCAATCATTTAAGATTCATTTTCTAAGAACAAAACAACAACGATGAATAATTAATGGCACTCCTTTCTTTTCTTATCTTTTTTATTTTTTTTAGAAATATTTTTGGCCCTGAAAAAGTCTTCGAAAATAAATACAAAATGAAGATCTGAAGAGCATGGAAATTGAAGTCATAGGTCCACTCATCTTGTGGAGAAGTCCTTGTGAGCAAGAACCGCATTTGACGAATGAAAAATGAAAGAAAAAGAACGAATGAAGACATTCATCGTCGTGGATCCAGCTCCATCGTTCACTCCACCTGAAGGGCTACTCCACTCATGGAATTCGGCGTCGTCGCCGTTCACTTGGCGGAGGAATTGAAAGATTCCCCATCGCAGCAGCCATGGCGGTGTTCCGTCCCCTGCTTGTATAAGTAAGTTCGGAGGACGTTTCCATGAGTTGTAATTTTTTTTAATTCTTTTATTTGCTTTTCTGTAGTCGGACGAGGGAGAGCTTGCTTGGTCACACAGCTTGAAAGGCGCCGGAAATCTGTGATTGCGTCGCATCGCTGTGCCGAGAGGCGACGGGTCTGGCCTTCCTCCGTCTGTAGGGGGATTTTGCTGTAAGCCTTGAGCCTGGATCATACATTATTTATTCCCGTTCTTGTTGAGACTACTCAGTTACTGTGAGTTTGCTTGCTTTAATTTCCTTTTAAAATTTTCTTCTCTTTGTGTTACTAGTTTGTGGGTCACCGTCACCTTCGTCGTGTTCTGGAAGGATCAACACCGAACTGTTGTTTCTCGCGATGCAGAGGCAGAATTCCGAGATGGTTTTCGGCGACTGGAATCGGCATGCACCAGTGACTGTCTAAGTACAGCAGGTGTGTCTTGTAAGTCACGTCGCGTACGCCTTGCAAAACCCTACAAACCTTATTAGGAGAACCAAAAACCTCTTACGTGGAAGAAGATAATACTTGTAAATTTAACTTTCTGGAGACGTACGCAATAATCTAATTCTTGTGACAATGTCGTTCAGCCACGCGACATTGTATTCGTTATAACTAATGAATGCGTTGATGATTAAAGCAGTGATTAACTTCCTCACGTAGCAATAGAAATCTTTTATTCAAGCGTAACCTTGCTCGCCTAGATTGTCTTCTGATATTGGCAAAAACAGCCCTTATGGTTGTGATCGGTAATTGTTTTAGATATATTAGCCTACTGTCTCGAGGTTGTTGATTTCATGCTGATATGCCGAAGACTATCTTGTCGAAGTGATGTTTTGGGTAGATTTTGTGACCATGTATATGATACTCGTTGATTGCTGGTGTTCCTGTTTAATTTGGCATTGCGTATCTTGAGCTGGATTGCATAAGCATTAGAAAGCTACTAAAACATGCGAGACTTGTACATTTACAATAATACATACTTATTCACAATCATTTCACGATGCTTTCTAGACCCGTTATTCAGATGATGATTTTCTGCTGAATTTTTAATGAACCTCTCCCGGCTATTATTCTTCTTTCTGATTTCAAGGAAGAGATTTGGAAGATATGCACACTGATGGTTTTTTTAGGTGCATCGTTTATCAGGTATTTACTTCAGGGATCCTCTCCAGTTAGATTGAAGGTTCGTTGTATAGTTCCCTAATGGCATCGTCTGTTCAATGCTATATTTTGCAAAATTGGTATGCTGCATTTTGGTATTGTTGTTTCGATGTTTGCTGATGTTACAGTACTGATACGAATTAGTGCTGTTCAGAGCTGTAATTGGCGCTTAACAAAGTTTGAGACGAGACTTCTACCCACAACCATGTCTAGTAGTCCTCGGCCGTCGGAGGATGGGGAGGAACCTGTTAGTTCGAGGACTTCGCCCATCAGGCCGCTGCTCGACCTTAGCGGGGCTGCCATTCAGGGTTCTCGGGAGGACAAGAATCCTAGCATTGTGCTTCCGAATCAGAGCGAAGAGATTTCGCATTTTGCCGTTGACTTGGGAGGATCTTTGATCAAGCTCGTGTATTTCTCCCGTCGTGCAGATCGAGAGACGACCAATTCTGGTAACAGGGCATTGTCACCTGTGAGGAAATTGGACCACTTGAAGCGGGGTGGATTTGAGGCCGAATTGCGACGGTATGGGGGTTTTCCGATCCTTGGAGGGAGGTTACATTTTGTGAAATTTGAGACTAGTAAGGTGAACGATTGTTTGGACTTCATTCAGTCGAAGCGGCTGCATTTGTGTAAAGCTGGGGGTGCAAAAGATGGTGTTATTAAGGCAACGGGAGGGGGAGCATTTAAGTTTGCGGACATGTTCAAGGAGCGGCTAGGGGCTACCATCGACAAGGAGGATGAGATGGGATGCTTGGTTGCGGGTGCAAATTTTTTGTTGCGTGCTATAAGGGACGAAGCTTTTACTCACCTCGAAGGGGAGAAGAAGTTTGTGCAAATCGATCATAATGATCTGTATCCCTACTTGTTGGTGAATATAGGTTCGGGTGTGAGTATGATCAAGGTGGATGGCGACGGACAGTATGAAAGGGTCAGTGGAACGAATGTTGGTGGTGGCACATTCTGGGGCCTTGGCCGATTGCTTACCAAGTCTAAGAGCTTCGACGAACTCTTAGAAATCAGTCAGGGTGGTGATAATAGCGCAATCGACATGCTGGTGGGGGATATTTACGGTGGCCTTGATTACTCGAAGATTGGCCTGTCAGCGTCCACCATAGCGTCGAGCTTTGGGAAGGTAATTGGTCAAGACAAGCCTTTGTCTGAATACAGGAGAGAGGACATTGCGCTCTCACTTCTACGGATGATTTCATACAATATTGGGCAGGTTGCATACTTGAATGCTCTACGATATGGATTGAAGCGTATCTTTTTTGGTGGCTTCTTCATCAGGGGACATGCATATACTATGGATACCATGTCGTTTGCTATACGATATTGGTCCAAAGGCGAAGCTCAAGCCATGTTTCTGCGCCATGAAGGCTTTCTAGGCGCGTTGGGGGCATTCTTGAACTATGACAAGCACGGATTATCCAATCTGACCGCTCATCAGTGTGTTGAAAGATTTCCAATGGGAGCTCCATATGCGAGAGGGGAGGTATACGGGCCTCCTATTCGTGACCTCAATGGGAAAATCACTTGGATGGACAAGTTTGTAAGTAAAGGAAATGAAATCACGGCTCCTGTTCCAACATCATACCCTGGAACAACGGGTCTTGGAGGATTTGAGCGACCTCTTGCACGTTCCTGCTCTCTTCGTTCGGATGCAAGCGCAGCTCTGAATGTTGGAGTACTTCATCTTGTACCCTCGCTTGAGCCTTTTCCTCTTTTAGCTGATATCCAGAGCTATGAGCCAAATACCGTTGATCTAAGTGACCAGTCAGAGCGTGAGTATTGGCTTAAGATTCTTTCCAGCAATCTTTCTGATCTTGTTGAGAAGGCTGTGGCAAGCGAAGGCGGCACTCCGGATGTAATAAGGCGAGGCGATGCCTTTGCTCGTGCGTTCAAGGCGCATTTAGCCAGGTCGTTAACTATTATATGTGAGGCAGTTTTTGTTATTTCTGCCTCTATAGTTATCGCCATATTATGATAATCAATGCATTATAGCTGCATTTCTTGTTATTTTTTCTGGAACTGACGTTGTACATTCTGTATATCCAGATTGCGCGAGGAACCAGCAGCATATGGACAGCTGGGGTTAGCCAACCTCTTAGAGATGCGAGAAGAATGCTTACGGGAGTTTCACTTCCAGGACGTCTATTTAGCCATCAAACAACGAGAAAACGAGGCCTCGATGGTCGTATTGCCAGATCTGTTAGCGGAGCTTGATAGCCTTGAGCCCTCTGCAAGGCTCCTAGCGCTGATTGAGGGCGTTTTAGCAGCAAACATTTTCGACTGGGGTTCTCGTGCATGCGTAGAACTTTATCGCAGCGGGACGATTCTTGAAATATATAGAATGAGCCGAAATAAAATGAGAAGGCCATGGCGAGTGGATGATTTTGATTCCTTTTGTGATAGGATGCGTGTGAACGAAATTACAGGAATTCCGCTTAAACCCCATAAACGTGCACTCTTGTTTGTGGATAACTCAGGAGCTGACATTGTCCTCGGGATGATCCCTTTAGCCCGGGAGCTTCTCATGAGAGGGACTGAGGTTGTGTTGGTGGCAAATTCTCTTCCTACCATTAACGATGTTACAGCCGTGGAGCTGCCGAGCATTATTGCGGCTGCTGCTAAGCACTGTGAAATTCTACGAAAAGCTGCTACTGCTGGTGGCCTTCTAGTGGACGTGGTTGATGACGGTAACTCCTACTCTTATAATTTTACTAGATGCACTGTTGAAACATGAAGTGTCACGTGCAGGGCTAGTTGCGGTCATCAAACTTTTTTGCTTTCATTTGTGAATCTTTGGCATTCTAATCACATGGTTTGCTTCTCCGTACTTAGGGTTGAAAGTAGAGTGCATGTGAAGCTAAGGGATTAACTAACCGAAGTTGTGCTGCGGTTAGAATGTCGTGTTGGCCATTTTATCGGCTCACATTATGGCGGGTAAGTGTCCCTGATTGTTTCGTTAGCTTGTACCGCCGACTGAACTTGAAGATTGTGACGACAGATTTGACTGAGAAGGATCAAGCCGAAGTTCCTTTCTTGACTGTCGTCGAAAATGGCTGTGGGAGCCCGTGCATTGATTTTCGACAGGTCAGCTCAGAGCTAGCCTCCTTGGCCGATGATACAGATCTGGTCGTGTTGGAGGGCATGGGCCGGGCACTACATACGAATTTTAATGCCAAGTTCAAGTGTGATGTCTTGAAGCTAGCTATGGTGAAGAACCAACGGTTAGCGGAGCAAATCATCAATGGATCCATCTATGACTGTGTGTGTAGATTTGAGCCAAAAGAGCAGTCTTGAGGCATGGCTAGCCATGACAGTCTTCTGCGCGATTCTCCAGCATTGAATTCCCTTTGCGACGTCTTGGGAGAAGGTGTAAAATAATTTAGTGTAGGACTTGGTTTTAGTATGCTCTAATTTGTAGCCGGCAAGTTGATTGTTGATTCTGTACAGCTCCAAATTGAAATAAACCATTCATTTTGATCAGCTCTGCATTCCCTGACGCTCAGTCCTTAACAACGACCAGTCTTAGCTTGACAATGGACGGACTTGTTTCCACCACTCTTATGGCGAGTGCTTGGCAAGTACACAGTGAAGGTCACAACGCGATGCTGTTTGGTTTTTGTTGGAGCGGTGGCACTTGTATACCCCCGTCAGTTTAGTAACAGAATCAACCAAGAGAGAATGCCCTCGGCACTCTTCAACTCTAGAATATTTCTCAATTGGGCTCATCAACAGTAAGCTCGAAATCCCAGGGTCCTGCTGCTGGTTTGTTTCACAAGCCACACTTCCGCCGTTTGTTTTCACGAACATCGTGAACATCAGTAGTATTATTGGCGCAACAAACTGCTGAAGCTCTACGAACCGGCAAATTAGTAGGGGGACACGGTGCTGCCAAGTTCCGTAGGTTGAATGTTAGAGCCAGGTCTGTAGGTGGTAGAAGATATCGCCTCCAGAGCAACACCATGTGAGGCAGATATCGCCTCCAGAACAAAACCCAGGACTTCAACAACCCGTCTAGCATGATGCTCAGCTCCCTCGATTCAACTTGCTCAAACACTTCTAAAGATCTGTCGTTCCACCACTCTTCGTCTGTACTCCAAATGGCTCCAACACTGTTTCCTGAGATACACCCTCGCCACTTCTGACTTGCCCAAATATGAAGATGAACCTACGACTGCAAAAATTGGAGGAGTTTCTAATTGGTTCACGCAAAGGAGGTGATATGCTAGAATGCGCTAGTCCGAAAGTAAGATGAGGGATGCTCACAGTTCGTGCAGACCACCAAGCGCGTGGCTCTTATAGATTAGGGTCTGTGCTATTGGGAAGACCAGGCGCACAGCCATGACTCATTCTCGTCAAGGTATCCTGAGCCTTTCCCTGACAACACGGAAAAATACGGTGCAATCCCTGCGTACCCACGAGAATCTCCGGCGTTTGGAGGACCATGTCCGATCGGTGGCCGCGTCGGGACACCGTGGAGGGTAGTGGACACGGGATCCACACCTTCACAAGATGCCAATGTGCATCTAGGTTCTATAAATAACGGAGACGGGGCTTGTGCGGAATGATTGTCTTCCAATAATTTTTCAACTTGACAGCACAATATTCTTCACAGGTGAACCTTGATTACGGAATCCCACTTTGCAAGGCCGTGGCATTTTGACCCCCACACCATCGAAAGGCACCAGAGGAAGACCGACTCGAGAATCTGCCCCAGTTTGATAAAACACGCTTTATGGTAATACGAGGTCTAAAAAATCAATTTTGGAAACTGACTTCTCAAAAAGGAGCGAAGAGTTTACTTCGGGTGTTGCAATGTCACTGTGCTACCTTCCGCGGGCCCTCTGTAATCGTTTCTACAGATAACGTAAGAATTTGACTGGAATGGAGTATCAAAACATTCTCGGAAGTCTAGTCTGGCCCTAGTCAGTAGAGTGGCTGGACGTAGTTAAATGTAGAGCCTAACCTCGGCTTTTGCGTGGGAATCCATCTGACGGCATCGTTGAGTGTGCAGTCGGGCACCCGGTGGATAAATTGTTCTTTTGCCAAAAAAAATAATTATGCCGCGTCATGTCCAATTTCACTTCATTCTGCTTTATTTTTCTTTAACCTTGAAATTTGAGCGTCGCGCTCCAGTTTTCTGCTCCTGCACTAGAGTCAACTTATTCGGTGAGCCTGGCAGAAAATTTGGAAAGATGTAGATGATCACTCGTTGAATACCTATCAAAATGTACGCGGTCTCTAAAATGAGATGCTCCATTGATACTCTCGCTTCTGACATGTGGTACAATCAGCACATCATACACACTTAGAGCTGTGTATGAACGTGGAATAGAAACTGAATTCGATGCCAAGTTACTCCTAGACAGTTTAATATATTATTCCCCCCAAAAAACACATATGCCTCCTTACCAAAATTGTTTTGCAGTACCAAATTCACAGTATGACTTTCCCATGCTGACAAGTTCAAATAAATGAAAGCCTTGAATGCACTCACTTAATAACCTGACACGATTTATAGCTAACATCACCAAATCAACATCTTGCTGCCCTTTAAGAAGCCTCAACCCTGCCAGATTTAATTAACTCCCAGGACCACCTCCTAATGATTCAAATGGTCCTCTACAATAGCCACTTTCCAAATACACAAATGTGCACAACCTACTCTGTGATAGATCGTTGAAAATTTCCAAGGTACTCCTCGTAACAAGCCCTTCAATCCATTCTGGGAAAAAATTGTTTCCGGACTGAAACATTCAACACAATAGGCCGAGCTGATAGGTGACACTATTTCAATCATCTCATGCACGATTGAAGAACAGTACAGAATTAACATCTATGCGCTCCAGTTCTCATGCGAGGTGGAAGGAAGCAATTTTTACATACAAGACAACGTGGATCCTAGTAAGAATGTACTTAGGGGGGCAATTTGATAACTAGAAGGTTCTTAAAAGTAGATTCTGTAGTGAAGTCTTGGCTTTAGAAAATTGCACCCAGTCATCTTCTAGTAAAACATACCATGTCGAGCTAATGCGTGAGACCTGCCTCACACCCACAACACCATGTCAATTCAAGCAAGCGGTATAAAACTGTCCAACTTAAAGTTATCAGTTAACACTGACGCAGATGTCAAACACTTTGAAAATGATTAATAGAATCGACCAAACTACAAGAAGCATGATTTCAGCAATTAAGGGGCAATATGGAAACTGAAAAATAAAATGAAAAAGAAAAGAAAAGAAAAAGATCACATACTAGACCCGATCTCTCCATTGCAAACACAGTTTCCCCAGATAGTTGGATTGGCTCTGATTCACTCATATTGTCAATGAGGTTGCTTGCAGTAATGTGTACAGGCTCCAAAAAACTCACTGTCCATACTGCATAGATCCAACGCTTATCTGTTCCACATCGACACACCATACTATTACCATATGCCAACAAAGTATACATCATAAATTTGTGTCGCATAATCCTCAAACGAAATTGCTGAACTCTCAAGAACATCTGTACACTAGGCAGTTGAATATCACCACATGCCATTTCTTGAGAAAAAAATTTCGTTGACTGGAAGTTTCATCGAGAGATTAAACGACATCATGCATTACAAACTTCATGAGTTTATTAAGGCATGGAACCCCTACCAGGAAATTCCACATCATTTTCATAATAAATTTCATGCAAGTTGACTGATGCCTGAACCTGAATGAGAGCTCGAAGCCACTCAGAGCACCTGAGAAGACATCAGTACGTTAAATTTCAAGTCAAAGCAGCATTCAGGTTTCTTTCAAAAATCACATAGTGTAGATTTTAACATCTCGTGCAAAACATTAATTGAACAAAGAAAAGCTCCAACAAATTAAGGAAGAGACGAACTTATTGCGTCCACAAAAGCAGGCAGCAGGGTTCTGGACCTCCACCGCATCGCTTAGCATGGAACAGAGAACATCTGCTTTATCATTGTTCAATTGACCTGGTAGTATTTTTTCAAGAGTGTACAGTATGGACTCGACTTTTTCTCGTACACAGACATCTGTATTTCAACAATGACGTAACGCATTAAGGTTGAGAAACTCAATGGCAAAATACAGTATATGCTCGATCGTGCAAAACTCCATTTTTAAAACAATCAACAAGAAACACCAACCTATCTCAACTGTCTTAAATGGAAAACAATCAGGGCTAGAACAGAACACCCCAACCTAGTATTACCCAAGAGAGAATATTAGATTCCTAGACTTGTACTCAGACAAGTTATAACACAACACGGCAACCTGTACCAATCTTTTGCTACAAGTATGATGAATTCGGCAGTTGTTAGAATAGATCAGGAAACAAGTTTGGTGATTGTACGCCTGGTATAATGCCCTATTCCTTCAAGACTGTGGCAATTTCACTAGCAAAATGTGGTATAACCAGTAACTGTACAAACAAGAAACATTCATTGCAACGCACGTGGTAACATGCAATTGAACCAGAATCTCTACAAAAAGATACCTTCTGCTGAAACGGGTGGGGGCGGCACATACTGAGAAGGTTCTTCGACTTTCTCACTAATAGTGACTTCTCCCAAGTATGGATCCCAAGTCAAATCTATACGAATACAACCAAGTGATTTCAATAGTGAATATATGAAAATCCGTAATACAATACTCAGGCCATGTACTATAATCCAAGGAGCCAAAACACGATTTGTTCTAAAGAATGACCTCATTGCATTGAAAGTAATTACAAGCAAGAAACAGCAGTAGTATTCGATTACAGCACCTCGAAACGGAATGTGTTTGCAATCATTGATAAGAACTTTCCAAGAACTTAAACGACAATTAAAGGTGCGTACCCAGACGTAATCAACTGAACTTAACAAGAAATATTATGTCACAAGAGTTCCACTGCAGCCTTACCATTTCGATATCTATCACTCTCGTCATCTTCGGTTTGAACTAGCTCGCCTGCTTTGTCCCCATCGCCATCACATGATCCTACTACAAGATGAAGACCTTGACCCAACCGTACATAAGCATTAGCATGCTTGAGAACGATATCTATCGCTACCCTGTGAATATTGAATCTATGACCACTGCATGCAAACCAGGTCGGGCTATTCCATTCTCTGGTTTGATAACTATGCAATGATCTGCTCCTACGTCGGCCCTGATAGGTGCACCCTGAAATATTGCAATGTCCCCTGGTTGTATTGCTCAACTCTCTCGCCGTAGGTGCGTCAAAAAGTAACAGAGGTAAGGTGAACATCAAGGCCATGTCCAACAGAAGTCCTGGTTATGGCGATTGCATCTCCCAGCTTACAACTCTCGGCTCAGCACGAGAAAATAAGCTCACGGAAACGGGACTTTCCGCAAAAATAAATCGACCTTTATCATTAAGTGTTATGAGAGCTCACATTAGGTGAACATCAGATGCGTGTTCAGCTGAGCATCAGTGGACTTGGACAAAATGTAGGCAATGATATCATGCTGCCGAGAAAATTTGCTTTGATACGCCAGAATCTACAGAAATCCAAAAACACAAAAGAAGGTCCGATGAGATTACGTAGTAGGGGAAGCATTTATCCTTCAATCTTCGAGACGGTCGAGGACGAAATTCTGTTTCACACGCTAATTCACGTGGCAATTGCTGCACATTCAACTATTCGGCGTTACAAATTCAAACTCGATCAACAGCAACGGATATCTACAAACACTCGCAAGACTTGGTAAATTAAACAATTCTTTCTGAACTACGACCTCCGCGAAACAAAAGAAAATAAACAAAACTAAAACAAAATGTGTAAAAAGTATAGAAAAGATGCTCGCCAACAAGTATGGACTACAAAAAGTGAAGATACGGAGAAACAATTCAAAACACCTCCTCACCACAACACACAAGCACCGTAATCGTCGAATAGACAACTCAAGAGTGACCACTCTAACTCAATGTCGTCATGGTTTAGGGTTTTTAGTCCCGAACAAGTGATAACAGCGCATTTTCTCTATGCCAACTGTCGACGATGACAATCAGTAGTATCGCTTCATAAACCACAGAGCTGCGAATTCAATCTCGAAGCTTGTCGCCGAGAGTCTTGTCAAGCAATGACAACTAATCCATAAATTCATAAAGAGTTGTATTTTAGGGTTGCATATTTGTATTAGAAAGAATAGTCATTCATATTTGTATTCGACTTTACAAAAGTCGGGAATTGTTTAATGCTCTCATACTACAAACTCAAAATCATCTTAAAGTTCTAGTTATACTTTGATGAATTACAATCAACTCTAAGCTTATAAGAATAAAAATTAAACATGATATAATTGATGAGAGTGAGCTTTTTAATTTAAATATTTAATGATTTCAAATTCATTTTTTCAACTTTGTAACTTTGAAAAAATAATGTCAATAACATAATTTAGTACTTCAACACAGAAACCAGAACTATTATTTTGGAAGATAAAATTAAAAAATAAAAAAACATAAAATTTTCAAGAATACAAATATAAAACAAAAATTGCAAGCAACTAGGTAGACAACTAATATAAAATAGGAATAAAATTTTTAAAAATAAAATTGTCTAAAACTAGGATTGCTTCTATATATGTTATTTGTAAGATTACTTCTCTTTTCTTTGTATATCTTCTAATGACTTGTTGTGCTATACAAATCTTTTATTGAGATTTATGGATAAAAGGTACTATAAAAGACAAAAGACAATCAACAGAAATGCATAGAAAATTCTTATAGCTCTTTGTAATATTTTAAAAAAAATCGAAACAAATAAAATAATAATAATGAATTAAAATCAATACATGTAAGTTGTATATCTCTGTAGGAATTTGTTTTATTTAAAAAAAAAAAAAAAAAAAAAAAAAAAAAAACTCTTATTTGTAAGTGATTCTAAAAGTTATACAATATATTTAATATGTAAATTAACCTTATTATTTTACAAATATTTTTGAAATGGTATAAGATCAATATTATGACATATCCAAGCTTTATATAAAACATGACAATTAAAATAAACATTTATAGATTTTTGAACCAAAAATTAAAAAATATAAAATTTGAATTTGATTTCTATTTGCTAATAAAATTATAAGATGTAGATTACTTAGAGGTGATACTTGATTTAATGGATGTTATTAATAAATGATAGTGTATCTTTTATAGCACATTAATTAAATTTTGTTTTGGTAATTAGACGTGCTTTTTGATATTGTATTTATAACATATACTAAGAATCTAACTTGACTTCTTTTTATACAATCATAAAAGAATCAATAACTATAATCAATTATTGTTGTTATTATTATTATTATTATTATTATATATAATGTGTTGCTAATGCCACCAAAACCTAAAGTGGTATGTAATAGATGACAAATTGTGGTGGCAACAACAATACCCTACATATATATATATATATATATATATATGAAAGAAGAACATGAGCAATCTATATCATAAATATAATTTCATTGAAGAAATGACAAGATTAAGAACAACTCCAACACGATTCTTTTGTTTAAATTATAATAAAGATGGAAGCTTGTTACCAAAATTTTGGTAACATTTTGCACAATCCATTCAAAGAAATTTCTCAAACAACTCTAAGATTTATTTATTTAGCTAGTTATTTATTATTTTTCAAGTTAAATCCAAAATAATGATCATATACAAAACTATATCCATTTATACATATGTTATTACATGTAATTTAGCACTTGCTGATCAATGATTATCAAAACAAACATATCAAATATAATCTGTAGTATATTTAATAAATATACCACTATAAATTATCATATCTAAAAAATACCCCGCTACATTCATATCATTTAATAAGTCTACCATGTATTACATTTTATAATAATTTATTAAAGAATTCTATTGATGCCATGTATCAATTTCTATTACAAAATAGTAAATTTGACATGTTTTAAGCAAAATTAAAAGTGTCCCATTATCTGCCACCTCCCCCCCCCCAAAAAAAAAAAATCTATATTTTTATTGAAAGCGCTCATTTTCCAATACATTATATCACTAAGACTTTAAATCACTTTATGCTATTCCTCACGGTTTGAAGGTGGGCCTGATTTGGGCGGTCATAGGTCTGAAAACATCAGGTCCAATCCGGAGCGGCCTTAAAACGGAAAGGGTAGGGAATTAGGAGCAGCGGGGATGGGTCTGCTCGAAGGGGCTTGACTGGGCTGGGCTGGTCACCGTGAGTTTTGAAGAGCAAGGGAGTTCTTGAGGGTGCCGCTCGTTCCAATGTCGCTGTATCTTCTCGTCTGTGCAACTGCTTAACACCTCGCCATTGCTCCTCGTTTGATTCTTCAGGTATTTCGTGCTATTCACCGATCGCTGTAACTCTCACTCCGCTCCAGATCGCCCAGCGAACGGCGTGGCGTGGTGTAGTGTGTTGCCTTTGGTGCTGTTCATGGTTATTAGGGTTTAAGGTCGGGTTTTAGTTAGTGTTTTCACATTCTCAGACACGGAGGAAGTCACGAACTAGATCACGTACAAGACCTCCATCCTATGCTACGAAAATCAAAGAAACGTGAGATTGTATGTTTAAGGAAATGCAGTTATTTGTTGTGCGTTGTGAGGATATGTAGGTGCCGACCTGTTAGGGTTCGAGTTTGAAGCGATCCTCATTTCACTCCTTCTTGAACATCAGGAAGTTCCAGTGCTCGTATTACTGCACTCATTCTCCGCCAGCCCTTGGTTGCTGAGCTCCAGCTTCTGCTACCATGGTATGCTTTCGTTGCTGTGCGTAGTTTTATTTTTATTTTTATTGAGCAATTCTAGAAGTTTTTGTAATGTACTTATATTTTGATAGGGTTATTTAAGATTATTCTAGAGAAATAGATTATTGGATTATTCTAATTTACAGAAACTTTTTTTTTGTTGTTGACAATGTTGCGCCCAAGCATGTTAATGATCCAGTGTATTTTCTGGTATCAAATATCTGTTGCGACCCTTGTGTCGTAATGATATCTCTTTCTGATTATTTATTTATTTTTTAATTTAACAGCAACCTCAAATCATCTTGCTGAAAGAGGGAACAGATGTTTCTCAAGGGAAAGCTCAACTTATCAGCAACATCAATGCATGCATTGCTGTTGTGGATGTCGTGCGGAGCACCTTAGGGCCCAGGGGTATGGACAAGCTTGTCCATGACGACAAAGGGACCACCATTTCCAATGACGGAGCAACTATAATGAAGCTCTTAGATATTGTGCACCCTGCTGCCAAAATACTCGTGGATATTGCCAAGTCGCAGGATTCAGAGGTACGCTGAACACCGTATATCTTTGATGGTTTTCTTCTTACGGAAAGTGGATTTTTTTTGCAATGTGAGGTGATTATTGAACTTTACAAGGCAGTTACTGGTATCAATCCAATCAGATTTACTTAACCTTTTCATTTGTGACCCAAAGAAACACCCAACTGTTAAGTTTGTCCTTGGTAATTTTATCTGGAAGCATAGACTCAATGTCTGACTTAGCATAATCTCTGAACATAGGTAGGTGATGGAACTACTACCGTGGTGCTCCTTGCCGGAGAGTTCCTCAGGGAGGCCAAGCCTTTTGTTGAAGATGGAGTACACCCCCAGCTCATTATACGGGCTTTCCGAACCGCAGCAGAGTTGGTTGTAAAGAAAGTTAAAGAGCTTGCAGTAAGCATTGAAGGAAAGAGCATGGATGAGAAGAAGAGCTTGCTTGAGAAATGTGCTGCCACAACTTTGAGTTCTAAACTTGTCGGAGGAGAGAAGGATTTCTTTGCCAAAATGGTAGTCGATGCGGTCGCTAGTCTTGGCCCAGATAGCCGTCTAAATATGATTGGAATAAAAAAGGTAATTGTTATGATGACCTAACTCAAGAATGTATTAAAACTTTTCCACTCGAGGAACAGATCGAATACAGGAACGAAGGGTCATGTACTTGTCTTGTCTAAGATTCCTCCTGTCACCGTATTGCCTGTAAAATAGTGCATTATAAATTCTTGAATTTGTCCTAGAGTTTAAGTTTGTGAATGTAGGGAGAACGTGATCAGTCGAATGAAAATCATTGTGCTAGATGGATCTACAAGAACATTTACATTGATATTAGGTTAGCTAGGTGAAGAAGTGGCCTCATTTTTGTCCTTTGAGCAGGTGCAAGGCGGGACTATGCGAGATTCTTTTCTAGTAAATGGAGTTGCTTTCAAGAAGACCTTCTCTTATGCAGGATTTGAACAACAGCCAAAGAAATTCGATAATCCAAAAATTTTGCTTTTGAATCTTGAGCTAGAGCTTAAGTCGGAAAAAGAGAATGCTGAAGTCAGGTATCAAATTTCTTCGCCGTATTTGCATCTAACGTGCCTCATTAATGACTAGTGACATGTATATATAATCCTGTCGTTTAGCGGGCCTAAGCTTTTCCGAGGTCTAAAAGGCTAGGAGCGAAGATATTTCTTTCTTTGTTCGCTCTTGTGCTTCTGTCTTCTGCAGTGCATTGATAATTTGGCTTGTCTCTTTTAGCTTTTGTTCTCTGTCTTTTGACCTGTATGCTGTGGAGCGTCCTCTTTTCATCGATGTAGCTTTGGTTTTAGAGTTATCTTAGTCGAGTATTTTCTTTGGGATATATATATTTTTTGTTTGGTATTCACGTAATTATTTTCTTTTGGTTATTGCAGGCTTTCTGATCCCACCCAGTACCAAACAATTGTTGATGCTGAATGGAACATTATTTATGAGAAACTTGACAAGTGTGTAAAGAGTGGCGCCAAGATTGTATTATCACGGTTAGCTATAGGAGACTTAGGTACCCAGTACTTCGCTGATAGAGATATCTTTTGTGCGGGTCGTGTGATGGAAGAAGATTTACAGCGTGTAGCCTCAGCTACTGGCGCTTCTGTGCAGACGACCGTGAATAATGTGATTCCAGATGTAAGTACTGGAGGCCCCGTTTCCTACAGCAGTAATACTAAGCTGATTTTTTTTCATTTTATTCACGAAATACGAAAGTACGGTCTTATTCATAATCAAATGAAATTTGATAGCTTTCGGGTCGAGCCATGTGTTTAGAAAATCTTTTGAGAACTTGAATCTTTCTAAAGTACAGTCAAGTCGTTCCCAAAATAAGTCGCTTATGTGTTAAAACACAATAATTTTTCTATATGTTGCTGTTTATAATTTTATTGCACCAAGTTGTTTTTGGTACCATTTGAATGACGTTAACCTGTTTGGTAGGTCCTTGGCCAATGTGAATTTTTTGAGGAAAGACAAGTTGGAAACGAGCGCTTTAACATCTTCACTGGATGCCCTGGTGGTGAGACAGCAACAATTGTCCTGCGTGGAGGTGCTGATCAGGTGAGATTCTGGGGTATTTATTGATTCATGGAATCATGAAACTTGTTAACATTTTAGGCTTGTCTGTGTAAATTATCATGTCAGTGTAAATGTGATAAGGGCAGGCGTGAGTTGATAATTTGGCTCTTTTCTATATGAAATTTAAATTTGAATAAATTGAAAGAAGACCTAGTAATCGAACGGCTTAAACTTATCCTCGGATTTAATATTTGGAGTTTCATATTTTGACTGATAAAAGTTTGTTCGTTGCAGTTCATAGAGGAGGCTGAGCGTAGTCTACATGACGCAATTATGATCGTGAGGAGAGCATTGAAGAACTCGAATGTCGTTGCTGGTGGTGGTGCGATTGATGTAAGTAGATTTGCCATGCTCTCCTACCTCGATGTAGCACCTATAATAATCGTGTTGTCCGTGATAAGTTTTGAGTGATAAGATGGTAGTCATTCGATGGTTCGCTTTGACATATGCCCTGGATATGCAGATGGAACTTAGCCGATACTTACGTCAACATGCTCGGACAATTGCTGGGAAATCACAGCTCTTTATCAACTCGTATGCCAAGGCTCTCGAGGTATTGTATTATTTAGTTCAAGTATGTTGCGGGGCTTCAAATTTTAGGATTATGCCAGGTCTGTAATCAACGATTACCAAGTTTCTAATTGTCGTTTTAACCAAATAATGTAACAGTTTGGTTAAATACTTTGGTTTTGCAGGTTATTCCTAGACAACTGTGTGACAATGCAGGATTTGATGCGACTGATGTGCTGAACAAACTGAGGCAGAAGCATGCATTGGCTTCAGGTACTCTTTCATTACATAATTAAATGTAAATATAATTTTTTCTTTGAACAATCTGGATTTCAACAAGGAATTTCAGTGGGCTTGTTGTACCACTTATTTCTTTTGCAGCAGGGTTTCTGATAATACATTAATGTGCACAGGGGAGGGTGCTCTTTATGGAGTAGACATCAACAATGGTGGAATCATCGATACGTTTTCCAGCTTTGTCTGGGAACCATCTGTCGTTAAGGCGGGTTAATCAACCTTCAAAATTTAGTGTCATGATTATTTCTACAAGTGTCTGCATTCTTGAAACTATCGGTGCTTGGTTTTGGTTTTGATAGCTTTCTCCAGTGGCCTTTTTACTGCAGTTTGGTGTAAGTCGATTTTATTTTGCCCCTTATCGAGCTCGATATTGTGAATGATTTCTAACTAGATTATTGATCAATGCAGATCAACGCTCTCACCGCTGCAACAGAGGCAGCCTCTATTGTTCTAAGTGTTGATGAGACTATCAAGAACCCCAAGGTACACTTGGCATTTCTGCAATCTTGACTTCTATACCTCTACAAATCTTGTTACGTCTTTTTTGCGAATTCCTGCTCTGAAAGAACACTGAAACACTATTGAACCTGTCTTGGCTCATGCTATTACGATTCATGTTGCTGTGCACAGCTAACTAGATCTGCTGTTTTTGCAGTCGGAGGCTGCTCAAGGTGAAGCTATGGGCGGCAGGGGTATGGGCAGAGGCATGGGGGGCATGCGTGGTGGTCGTGGCGGTCGTGGCATGCGCAGGCGGTAGCAAGTCATTAATTTTATTTCTGGGAGCAATGTTTTAGTTAGTAATGGAATCCCTTATTTGAACGTAGAACTTCTTTCTTTAGCTTTACACAACCTGTCTTCGCATGTGGCATACTTAAACCTCACCCTCCGATCTCTAGTACAACGACTTGAGAATGTTCAGTTTTGATAATATTCTACCATTGGCCCTTACTTTTTCCTTGCGTCTAAGTAATCCAAGAGCAGATAAGTCATTTAGTCATCATTTCACAGGGTGCAATGTTATTTCGAAGTATAGCTACGTTACCACTAGCTGGTTGTAATCAAATGACAGTTTTTTGGTTCAATTCGCGCAGGAGATTTGGATTTCTTCTTTATACAGTGTAACACCGTTTTCTCGTGACCAAGTTTTTTGTTTGATAAGGATATTATTTGTAATGAATCTTTATGTAGCCAAACACCTGAACATAGAAGTATGGAATCACAGATTAACAAAATTGCACGAGTTTTCAAAGGGTTTGTTATTTTCATATTTGATATACAATAGTAGTAGTTTCTGGTCTAATTTGATATAATTAATTTAAAGTTTAAATTGTCGATATTTTTTTCTTCTTCATGCGTATATTTCGGAAGAACCCAGAGATTTAAGACAACGGGTTTGGAATTCAACACATCAGAAGCATAATTTCTGGGCATGTAAGTTTGGTGATGGCGTCTCACGCTCAAATCATGTGTCTACTAAACTTCACGCTCAAATCATGTGTCTACAAATATCATTCTATTTGAAATCTCCTTTTCAACTTGAAACAATCTCGATATGCATATTTTTATGAATGGTCAGTGTAAGAACGAATTCAAAGCTCTAAACCCTAACATAATAATGTATTTACAGTGAATAAAACACATGTTTTCAAATCTATCACCTAATGCACCAATCATCATACGATAATCAAAACAATACAAACGAAATGAAAGGAGCCACAGAGCATTCTCTAATATGAATGAACAGTTACATCTCAACTTTCATTCATCCTTAATATTCGTCACGAGCACTCGAACAGGAACCCGGAATCGAGAGGGGACCCGAGCCTAGTCAGCAGGCTAGGTTTGGTGACCGAATCAAGTGGTTCGGTGGTCCCACCAGGAACTCTTCCTGTGACAATTCTCGACGTTGACGACGACGACGAAAAAGAATAAGCAAGTTCGATGCTGAGCTCACTAAACCCTCGCTTCCCGTAGCAACGCGATCTAAGGTTGTTCTGTCTCCGTCGTTTAATTCCTTCTTTTCTATCGTGAGGTACTTTAGTCTGCTGCAGATTGGCGTGCTAGAGGGTGATAATGCTGAGTTTTATTTATCGGTGCTGTTGATAGTTACTAGGGTTTTTGATCGGATTTCGGTGAGTAGGACTTCAGCCTTAATTTGAGCTCTTTGCATTTTGTGTCGCTCTGGGATCGGTACTAGGTTTTGTGTTTGTGAAGGTTTCTTACAACACTTTGGTGTGGTTTGTCAGAAAGGGATCCAGCTCTTTAGCGCGGTGTTGCTGCACTAGCTCCCTCGCCAGCCCTTTGTCGCTGGCTTGGGAGATTGGAATGGCGATGTCGAGGATGGCAGCCGTACGGCGCTTACTAATACAGCCTTCGTCTTCTTCATCAGCCGCAATGTTTCATGATTTCTCGCTTCAAATGGCTAGGTCCTTGGCATGTGGATTTAGTGTAGAGCGCGGCGCTTTCGGTAACCAGAATTTCGTCCAGGATTTGGAGATCGGATGTGGCGTCCGACATTTGCGTACTCACACTAAACATAAAGTCATACTTACCACTGTAAGCAGCATCTCTTGTGCGCTAGGTTTTTTTAGCTGGTTGTTCCTCTCATGGAGTGCCGCCGCCGATTTTGTCTTTTAGGGTGATTTTGAATTGGTCTTAGTCGAGTGGTTGGAAGATGGTCTTCTGATTATATGAAATATTTTATTTTGTTTCGTTTTAGTTTATTTTATTTCATTAATTTTGATGATGTTTTGAAGTCTTTTATAGTTCTAACAGAGATTTTCTGCTGAGACTAAATTTTTGTTTTGTGGGGTAATTATGCAGCCTATTGATAGACTCGGGAAGGCAGGAGAGATAGTGAGCGTGGCACCTGGTTACGCTCGAAATCGTTTGATTCCTAACCTGATGGCATTGCCTGCAATCGACAAATTCGTTCTCATGGTTCAAAATCAAATCAAGGTGAAATTTGTTTTGCCTGGTTTGTGTTGAAAATATGCAAGTAAAAAAGAAAATTCTAGATTTATTGAATCCTCCATTCATCATGAGGCAATGTCATAGAAAGGATGCAGTTGAACCACTACAAACTTTCGTTAGGTTAAATTGATATTCTTGTTCACATCGTCGACGTTTTGCTCAATAATTGAATCGGGCTATGCAGCAAACTGGAGGTGCACAAGTTGAAGAGTCTGAGGTTGTAGAGGTCAAAGAAGAAACGGAGGAGGAGAAACTGAAAGCTGTCGAAGCTGTTCTTCGACGATTAGCTAAAGGTCGTGTGGTACTTAGGAGAGACGTGGGTATGAAAACCACACTTCACAAGCTCGTCACGAAGTCGGACATACTTGCTGAGGTACCACATCGACTTGATGCGTACCCTTCTGTTCGCGGTTGCTACTTTGAGTAGTGAAGTTTCAGTGAATATTTGCACTGAGCCCAGTCAAGTAGTAATATTTTGTGGGTAATTTTGTTGGATGGTTTGTTCTCAGGTTCGGAGACAATTGGGAGTCGATTTGCATGAAGACAATCTGGTGATGGAGACTGCTTTCTCAGAAATTGGAGAATATGATGTACTACTTCGTCTTCCAGAAGGTTTGAGGCTTCCTGGTGATAAAGCCAAAATGTTTCTGAAGATTCGCATAAGAAGAAAGTAAAATCAGCAAGTCAAGCTGTCTTCACAGACTTATCCCTTTGGACAGAGGAGATATATCTGGTTTCAAATGTGGCATTTGCTGTATGAGATCGGGGTTTTTAGGGGATTAATTTTAGTCAATGCACCTACTCGCCATACCCCGTGGCAGTGTCAAGAAGCCATCTTCAATAAAGTCGGGGTTTGAATGGCACACATTCTTGAAGCAATTTTTACAGAGCTAGCTTCTATGCGGTGCTTCGTAATTGAGGAATGAGGTTGAGATTAGGAACTGTGTTCCGCATTTGATATGTGATGACTTTGTGCGCATGGACAGAGGCGATGCTTCAGTTGTAAGCTGCAACAATCAAGCAGCACATGTTCTTTGGATATCCTATATGAGAATGTTGAAAATCACAATGAATCCTCCAAATTTGATACTTGCCAAATATATGTTGAAAAGAACTTAATGACTGGATGCCTAGAAATTTGGCTACATTCTAGAATTTCTTGAACAGAAATTAATTATCATAATCTTCTTTTCACTTTTGCCAATTTCGAGTGGATTGAGTAAAGCAAAATCGAAAGCCTAAACAGATTATGAGCTTCTTGAGGGTTAAGATTTTTTTCTTGCAAAACAAACAAAAATGGTACAAGATTGGAGTGCATTCTGCTGAGCCACTTGGAATATGGCATTACAAAACATGAATTCACTGCAAAAAAACACTTAGCCTTCCTATGTGGGCATCTGCCCTGACCATTTAAAGGAACGAACATTATCATGAGCAATCGAAACACTTTAGGAGAAATCATAAGAGCATAATCGTACAGCAAGCCACAAATACTTCCAAGCCTGTGGCAGGGTCAAATTCTTCAGAATAAACCAAGATCATATATCATGTCAGTAAGGTGATTGGTGCAAAGCTCAAAAACCGAAGCCCTAGTTCGGGCCAGAACACGAATAATTTAATACTTTTCAATGGCTGGGTGAAGAGTGACTAAACACCCTGCATAATCATCACAAAGTAATACAAGGCTTTGCTTGTGTAGAAGGAAGTTTGAGAAAAAGACCTAGTAATGCATAAAAAGCCTATGACATTTTAAGATAGACTTTTGTGGAAAACAAACTCTGTGAACTAAGTCCGATGTCGGAAGAGTCAGATTCTACAAAAAGAAAAAAAAAATAACACTACCTACTGCAACTCTGTTGACAAGACCACAACTGGTGCTCAGATTGCAGAAGACAAGTCTATGCTTATTTTGTGTTCTTTCACAAGACAAACGAAGCAAACAAAATCTACTAAACTTCATCCCATGGATATTCTTCCCATCGCCAGGAAGTGCTCCTGTGAGATGAGCCATACGATGAGCCCGTGGGCCGGCCCCTTCGGGCATACACGTCTGGCTGTGCTGCATCTGGTCCAGGGTGCCACCTTTGATAGTTAAAACCCTCCCACCGATCACGTTGTCGACTTGCTCGTGACTGACTCCCAGAGTCGCCTCCAGAACTAGAGCTACTCCATCCCTTATTCACATTGACTCCGTCACTTGCTCGAGAATGTCTCCTGTCACTGTAAACGTTCTTTGCGAGATCACTTGACCTAGTTCTGAGCTTCCTCAACTCTTCTTCAGAATCGTATCGTGCCCGTTTGGCTGGGTCAGAAAGAACTGCATAAGCCTCCCCAATGAGCTTAAACAGCTGTTCTGAATCCTTGCGAATTTCTTCAATTAACCTCTCCCCTTCTTTTCGAATAGTTTCATCCATAGCGTCCTTCGAAGGGTCATCTCCAGTGTCTCCACTACGCATTAAAAATTGACCGGCCTTGTCTGGATGATGTCGTAGCGCAGCCTTCCTGTACGCTTTCTTTATCTCACTACCTGAGCAACCCAGCTCTAATCCCAATATGCAATAGTGATCAAGTGGATACCCCTTCTTCATCTCCTCTTCTGCTTTCGAAAGCCTCTCTTTGGCTAGCTGCAATTCCTCCACAACAGAAGTCGTTGTCCCAGCCGAACCATCTCCCTTCGTAGATTTTAAACCGGGCGTTTGGGGCTGCTGCCTTTCATATATTGCTATGAGCCTACCGAGGTCACTACAAGACTGCCCATAATCCCTTACTTTTTCGTGCAAAGATGCCCTGCGTGAAATGGCCTTCGCATACCGAGGATCTAGGACAATAGCTCGACTACAGTCGGCTATGGCATCTGCAATGTGACCTAGGGCCTGGGAAGCAGCTGCCCGATTGCACAGACACACGGCACAAAATGGACGTGACTCACCATTTCGGGCTAGAGCAGCAGTATAATGCTCCAAAGCTTCTGTATACTTCCCTGCTTGGAAAGCTTTGTTGCCTTCCAGCTTATGACGCAGAAGGTCTCGAATAACTGCCGTAGAAGGCAGAGCCATGCCCGCAGACAATGCTCCAGGTGAGTCAGGATCTGGGGGAAACATGGAAGAGGGTCCTTCTTGTAGCTGTTGCAACTGCTCCAAGGACTCCTCCAGTTTCCCAAGGTGAAAGTTGGCCTTAGCAGTTATCCTTCGCCTCCAACCTAGAGGAGAATTTTCTAACCTGTTATTGACACCTTCCGAAGCGGCAAAATTCTGCTCAGCCAAATCCAAGCTCTGTTCGCATACTTGGACTGCTTCCGTATATCTTTGTAGGGAGATAAGTAAGTACGCCTTAAGCTCGAGTAACCACTCGGACTGGGGGCTGCAGAGAAGGGCCTCATTGAGGAGCCGCAATGCTGTGACTGAATCATTCGAGGAATTGTTGAGGACAAGTTTTCTCGCCTGGTATTAAAACTTTATTGTTAGTACAGTGGCGTTTAGATTATCCATGAAATTACTGCAATGATCAACACAGAACTTCAAGAACCGCCAACTCCAAGTAACCACTGTTTACAAAGTAACAAGATTACCGATTAAGTGGTACACAGAAAAAAAGGATACATCTAACGAACAATGTGAAATTTAGTCCAAGGCACAGTGCTCCTTAATTTCTCCAGCATTCATTGCATTTTAATGGTGTGATTCAAGTGCAAAGAAGCGTCAACCATACATACCTGACAACTGTACTCCGCTACTTGTTGGGCTTTCTTCAGGCCATCAGACGCATCCGCTAAAACCTTCGAATCCAGCTTACTGGCTTGTTTGGCTTGTTTCAAGCACTCCTTGAATGCTGACGCAGCTAGCTCAGTCTCCCCGAGAGCAAGATGACAACTAGCTGCTCGTAAGTGCACACGGATAAAAGAGGGATCCACTGCCATTGCGTGCATACAATCCGCCAAGGCCTCCCTCATACGTCCTACAACCATTCTGGTCGCGGCTCTGTTGCTGTAACAAAGCACTGATGCCCGTAAGCAACTCTGCGAAGTTTCATGTGGCGAGACACTCCCGGCACCAAGAGAGTAGAATTCCTCTGCTTTAACAAAATCTCCTTTAGCATAAGCCTGGTTTCCCCTTAACCTCCACCTTTCACAGACCTGTTCAGCAGCTGCAGCAGCACCCATACCTCCTGAGGTGTTCACTCCTTCCCCATAACCCGACCCTCCCAAACCTGAGCCTCCCCAGGCTGGTCCTGCCAATCCAGTAATAGGGGCAGCACTAGACCAAGTGCCCGGCTTAACGGTAGATGAAGGCCTAGAGGTGCCTCTATCTGGTTGCAAAGCTGGTATAGAAGCTTTCTCAGCCTGCGACAACCTTCCGACATTCCTCTGGACCTTCCGTGTACGTCGGCGCAAAAGATTAGAAGTGGACATTCCTGTTGGGCTAGCCGTGAATGTAAAATGACCTCCCTTTCCCTCACTTCCAGTCCTAGGTTGGCCTTCATCCGTGCAACATGAACTTTCTTGACCACTGCTAGTTTCAGTGCCACCTTCATTCCTATCAGCACCTGAACCTCTTATGTCGTCTCTCTCATTCGCACTACCTGTGGTCTCACCTTGTTCAGCTGTTCCATTATCCCGTTCAGTCCTATCTACAGACTGAGTGTCAGTGAAAGGTGTTCTCTTCCAATTTGCACCGTAACTTGTAGAGCTTGACACATCGTCGGTGATCTTCCCACTTGACCAGGAATCATTTGCCGCCACATTAGGAAAAGGAGCAGAGCTTGAGGTCTCCTTTGATCGATTTGATTCGGCGCCAAATTTTAGCTCGGAAACTGCTGCTCTGAGTTTCGATATAGAGGCTTCCAACTCATTCATTGAATTTAAATCCGCGGTCCCACCACTATCCTCGTCACTATCTCCATCGTCATATTCTGGAACTAGCGACTTGTTGGGAGTAGGATAACCTGAGTGAGAGCTGGTAGACGTCTCATTAGTGCTTTCAGGCGAAATATCCATTGATACACTCTCTCTGCTCGGGCTTGGACTCGCTGCCTCTGATCTCGCACTGGAGTTTGTGGATGAACTTCTCTTTCCTTTAAAACATGATCTCTGACCTGGCCGTAAAGACCGATGCTGAAACTTGTCTTTCTTCAACTTCGAGACTGGGGGCTTAACCTCCCCTTCTGAACTGAATTTGAACGCAGATGTGAGATTGGGTGCCGGTGGAATCTGCGGAGAATCGTTGTCTTTGCTTGCAGGAACATTGCTTGCTCGAGCTTGAGTATCTGTTGCTGCACCAAACACAAACGGAGCACCACTTGGAGTCCTGACTTCAGGCGTACTTGTACTTGGACCACTTGTACTTGGGCTACCAAATACAAATGCACTTGGCTTTGAAGGGGCATTTTTACCTACTTTGCTCACGTTGAGATTTTCCAATTTCTTTTGAAGGCCTTCTCCCTTGTCAATATCCAACTTCTTCAATTTTTGATTAATTCCACTTTCAAGAACAACAGCAGTAGGTTTGACTATCTTGTCTCCTCCTTTGTTGAGGTCTAACTTTTCCAATTTCGGAAGAAGACCAGAGCCCTTATCAATATCCAAATGATTGAGCTTCCGAAAAATGTCCACGGGAACATTTTGCTCAATGTTGGCAAACCTGTTTATTTGAGAGACGGCTTTTAACCCCCCACCCACACCCGCTGCAGAGTTGGCAGCCAACAATTCCTCAAAAGGAATATCTGCTTGTGTCGTAGGCTTAGCTAGGCCAGTGGATGGCATCCCAAATACAAACTTGGGTTGAGAATTAGAAATCGATGATCCCATTAATGAAGGTTCTGTTGAACTACTCGCTTGAGTTGAAGGCCTGGCCGAGGCCGAGAAAAAACTGTCGACAGTAGTATTGGATTGTTCAGTAGATTGGGATGGACCTGAGAACGATATATCCTTCGATACGCTCGAGAAAAGTCCGGGCCTCAAAGACCCTGAGAGTGTACTATCTGAAGAAACATTTGACTGGGCACCAGGTCTAGGGATTCCCGAAAATAAGCTATCCGTAGGAATATTGGACTGAGATGCAGGTCTAGTTGATCCTGAAAATAGACGGTCTGGGGGAACATTTGTCTGGGTTTCAAGTTTCACGGATCTTGTATGCTGGGCGCCAGCAGTAAATACAAAAGGACCGGAATAACTGCTTGCTGCATTCGGTTTTAAGCCTACCGGAAAAGTCGAGAAGCTAGAAGTAGCATACTTAGAATCCTGAGAGGAAGCTGAAGACTCCCGCGCGTCAGCCACAAGAGAAGAACCACTACTAACTACCTTCGGAAAGGAATTCGAGAATAAACTGGGAGCCGGATTACTGGAGCCATTGAAAACCGTAGCTCCACCGCAGATGTTGAAAGTTGAAAACGAAGAAGAGGTGGCAGGTGTGGAATCCTTGAATACCGCAGGCGTCTGCTTGCCACTACTTTTTCCGCTCCTGCTACGAAACGCCAAATACTCCGAAAGAGGAACGGTGCGATTCACACCACCTGCGTCCGAGGTGGAAAAAGAGGAGGTCGCAGAAAATCCACCAAATCTAAACTTGTCAGTATTGTTCTGAGAAGATGTGTGAGTGGCTTCAGACTTGGACCTCTCCGCAGCTTGTGTAGCCATTTGTGACCCAAAGACATAAGGGCCCATGCGATTTGCATCTGCACAAAACCTCAGTCCCTTTGATTCCAGACCCTCTGCAGATGACCCTGGCGACTGTTGGTTGATGTGGTCCGCGAGATGGGGGAACCGCCTAGGACCATAGGGTGCTGCCTCCACCTCCACAGACTCAACCCCCATGGGTTGGATTTTTTTCCAGACTAGAAAATGGAGGTGCTCTCTCGTAACTGCTCACCATTTCTCACGTAAATAATGTTGCCATCTTCAGGAGTCCCTGCTCTGCAAAAAGAGAAACCAAAATATTAAGCACATGAAACTCCTTAAACTGTAAAAAAAAAATTAAGACTAAAAAATTTGTTTTCAGCGAGGGGGAGAGAGAGAGAGAGAGAATTGTTTCCAACAATCTGGAAATGAAAGAAGACACTGAAGAGTTACGGTAAAAGGTGTCAGTCACCAGAATTTCTGACCAGAAAACAATGGTTTCTCAATGATTTGTAAAGTAACAAAGACAGCCTGGCCAAGGACTAAGACCCTGTCCACACATTTCGACAACAACTAGATGAATGATTCCACAAACACAACGCATTGGACGACCTTAAGCTCGAAACCAGTTTCATATTCTTAAAGTCGGGCTTCACCTCACAAACCAACACATGAAACCCTCCAAGACAGAATAACAATGCAGCTACAACTTCGCTTCGCTTTACGCCCGTATCAGCAATATAAGAAACTAACCAGCATGTAACGCCTCCAACAGACAGGTTCGAATCAAATACAGCTTTCTACATTATACCTGACGCGAGTATCACTTTGGCATCACTCTCAACTCTATCTGGACATTCTGAACCGGAGTACACCTCAACAGACATGAAGAGTGCTACAAAGAAGCTTCAGAACACGCAAAAATAGATTCCAGGACAAAATCAAAACTTTAGAGGTAATGAATTCGGATCTCAATAGGGTCAACTAAAGTTAGAATATCTATGTAGTGCCGATTACTTCTTAGCTGTGACAGAAGACTCCAGAAAAACGTGGTCATAAGGATACACGCAATCACTGTCAAACGACTTCCACAGAACCTACCCACAATGAACAAAGTATCACTTGCGATCTTCCAAAGACATGAGGAACAATTCTCACACATTATTCAAGCTACAGAATAAGAAGATACGTGCTAGAACAAAACAAGTCAACACTCTCCTCATGTCAATAAAATAACTGTCGCATCTACATACTGCCGATAAAAACTTATTCAAAGAGCAGTCCTCTATCCTATAGAATCTTTATCCTATACTGTACAAAATCACACGGATTTAACCTTACTCAGTTATGTAGAGACGATCAACTCTTACTGCAAAAATTCCTCAGCTGCGTCCCACTCCCGAAGCTTACAAATTGGAAAAATGCAAAAAACAACTACACAAGACAACGGGCTCGATTGCACCAAAACAGCATACAATAAATTGAAAACCTACCGATGACATTCGATTCGCCATACCCGCTTCAATTCCCGTCCTTGAGAAATCTGTATCCTATTCAATCAATGAGATTTTTAATATTAACATTAACATTTGAAATACATTTTTATAAAATAAAATAAACATATAGGGTATATACGCTCAATCTACAAGAATCCATCCAACAGTCTCGAAACTACCGCATTGTAACCCTAAATGCCCAACCAGCAAAACCCAAATGACCTAAAACGAAAACCTCAAACTCCGTCCGCCATCAACCACCGATATTATCCTCCACATCGCCCTCAGAAGATCCAATCGATGCACTAAAATACTCATGCGCAACTGCACAATCCTGAAAACCGCAAACACAACGGAAGTGCACCCTAAAAAGCACAGAAGGTAATCAAACGGCGCACTCACCACACGATTCTGAACGACGTTTGATACGAAAGAACGGTGGGAGTAGAAGGGAAGCAGGTGGCAGATACGCGGGCGTCTGATCAGTGGGCAAGGAATTGCTGGATGCGGGGCATCGCACACACACACTCACGAGAGAGAGAGTCAGAGACAGAGAGAAAGGAGAAAGGAGCGATGGTGTGTGTGTGTCCTGCTTTGCTTTGCTTTGCTTTTCCTTCCCTTTCCTTTTCCTTTCGTCTCCTCTTCCTCTGCTTCTCCTGGAGAAGAGAAGAGGAGAAAAGAGAAGGGAAGGGAAGGAAAGGAGGAGGCTGGGCTGGCTAGGCTGGGTTCGGGCGAAGCAAGGCCCAGCCAGGAAGGGAAGGCTCACCAGTCACTTATGCCCCGGGAACCATGCGAACTCTTTCGGGGAACGAGTTCGAATGAGTGGGGATCACCCACCCACCCTCCCAGTGCCTGTTCTCGCCTTGTTTGCGCAATTCTCGGGGTTCCCTTAATTAATAAATTTCTTTCTCTTTGTTTGTGAAGCAGAAATTTGTCAGAGTTGCACTGCCCCCCCCCCCCGAATAACTAGTGCCCTAAAATTATCATCTATTCAAAATTATATATATATTTATTTATTTAGTGTCATCCAGTGTTCAATGGCCATGCAAGGGATCTTCTTCCTTGGAAAGACCCTTTGAAAAAGTACTAATGTGCTACAGTGTAAAAAGAGGTTCCTCTCTCCCTGCTCATGAGTTTTGTTGTTACTTGTCCTTTTAGAAAAATATTTATGTGGTAGCATTTTTAGCAATCAAATGATATTTATCTCCACTCCAAATGCCAGAGAAATTTTGGTTGTTTGAGTGCTTTTATTTTTTATTTTTATTTTTATTAAATGGATTAGTTTTTTTGATTACTATACAAAAAATATGCATGTTTCATAGGATAAAATGGTGCTACTTAAGGAATGTGTTTGATTTTGGTTTTAAGTTTGATTTTTTTCTACTTCTTCTTATTGTTTGTTTGTTTGTTTGTTTGATTGTTTTTCACACACTACATGTATCACTAACCATACAATTCAGATTGATCCATATCATATACCATTTATATACATAATGTATCTTTTAATATGAAAGTCTTTTATGTATACTATTCAAAATTATTTGAAATTATTTAAAGTTAAAGACAACCATTTAATTATTTTTAAATCAATAACTCATGTAATAAAAAGAAATCTCAGAGGAAGTCTACAAAACATAAATCTTAAATAAATAAAAGAAAAAACTTTAAAAAACTATTTTTTTATTTATATAATTAAAGTAAATTACTGTCAAGCACATTGAACTGTGCAACTTATTTTAAATTAATGCAACAACATCAAAAAAGAATGACAATAATTCTAAAGTGATGCATGAGAGTTTTTATAGAAAAAAATGTATTATTTTTTATATGTCTACTCTTATTGTATTGGATCAAATGAAGTTAAAAATCCAATAAATTTCATGTAAACCTTAATGATCATAGCTACCACACTTGTTTAAATTGGAATCGTACTAAGGAGGATATGGCCAAAAATTAATTTTTTGAGATATATTAAATAGTCTTCTAGAGTATATATATTAAATTTACATTATGAAATCAAAAGACCTTTTGACTTCCCTGAAAGGTATTATATGATGATATAATATCCTTCAACTTCCACGTAGATAGGCTCCCACAATACCATCTTAATCTTTGCTTACATTGCATTTTAGTATGAAATGTTTAGTGCATTCCCAAAGACGAAGAACAATCAATCTGCAACTAAACTTTTGGAGGTATTTTTAAAAAATTAATTTACTTTAGAGCAATTATATTTTTTTGTAAGTTGTAGATGTTTGGTGATGTTTTTGTGCTTAAAATATTCCAAAGCAGATATTGCAATATTAGACATTGTAGAAAAAAATCAATTTTGAATACCTGTTTTTAAAATTTTAAGATTTCAGACACCAAAATAAATTTGATTAAAAATAATGATTTGGTTCAATATGTATATTTGCATGTATACCAGATTTGGCTACTCAAGGTTCAAAATGGCTTGAAAGAGTTGGAATCCAATAAGAAGCTTTCATATCACGGTTGCTTGAAAGTACATAAACAATAAATAAAAATTGACAAAGATTTTGTATATACAAATAATTAATTCGATAATACTTGGTAAAAATTATGAATTATTTAATAATAAATACCGTAAGAGTAAATGTGTCAAGTATCTCCACAAACCAAAGAAAAACTGAAATTTAGAAAAAAATTATTTACAATAAATAACTGTTTTTATTTTACAATAAGTTAGTTAATACCTGATATATAAAATTAGAATGTGAATTTAAGGATCATATCTTCGAATAGTAGACCAACAAAGAAAAATAAAATGATGCAGGGAATTTTATTTTAGAATTTATATATACATATATTTATTTTAGAATTCTATTTTAGAATATATATATATATATATATATATATATATTTTCCATCATGAAAGGTGTGGTTTAAGATTTCAATAAGACTCTGAAACAAGATTTTTTAAAAGAGAAACGTGATACCAAGATTTTATATGTCAGAGATAAAGTTATTAAAAAAAATTATATTATCAAGAACATATAAATGCAAAAACATTTACATCTTTTTTGTTGAATTGAAAAATTAATTAAAAATATCATCCTATTTTTTTCTTGTAATTAAAAAAAATACACAAGAAAAACATAAAATATTGAGGCCTAACTTTGGTATTATATATATATAAATATATATGTATATAACTGAAGGAAAAAAAAAACAGTTGAAAGACAAACTTGACTTAAATCTTGAATAAACCATCTATGAACATAAATTAAAATAAGCCTGATTCAATTTTTGGATTTAGAAGATGATAAAATTTCAATAATTATGTAACATGATAGAAAGCTTATAATTTTAAAATAAAACTAATTCCAAATTTTATTAATCAGTATAAAAAAAATATATATATGAATGTATAAATGTGTGTTTGTATGGATATATATATATATATATATATATATCTATATAGACATTCATACATTCATATATATATATAGACATTTATACATTCATATATATATAGACATTCATACATTCATATATATATATAGACATTCATACATAATACTAATTTAGAAAAAATCAAAAATCAAAATAAAAGAATGCAATATGATGCAAATTATAGTATGAAGCAATAAAACTCATTTTAATACAATCAAAATTATTTGAAGCAAAAGAACAAAAACTACAATAGCAAAACATAATTTTATTCATCTTAACATTATTTTGTAATAACAACAAGGCAAAAGTAAAGAAATCTTAAGAAATGAATACATGTAAGTTTTAATATTTTTTTTAATTATGTGATAAAATAATCAAATATTATTTATACTTCTACAATCAATTCTAATTTGAAGATCACATATTGACTTTTCTTACTAAATTATAAAAATAAAAATTAGATTTAATAAACTACTAGAAGAAAAAAAAAGTTAATTCATTTTTTTATTTGATTCTATGAATTAAAAAAATTAGTATATCTTTAGAATTTGAATAAAATTATATTGTAATAAAAATATATTATTTATTTAATAGCAGAATAGTAAATTATTTTAGATTGAGTTCAAATTTTAGAGTTTAATTATATGTTAAATTTTTTCTAATGATTTGAGATTTCTAAATTGATTTTGATATGAATTTCTATGTGTCTAAGAATGTATATGACTTATCAGTTGGAGGACTTCACATGTTTATGAAATTGTATTAATTAAAGCAATAGTAACATTTATATGGTAGTTTGTATGGTAAAGAGTCGTTAAGATAGGTTTATATTCAAAGGGATTTGTGCATCTATTCTTACAAAAAAAACTTTCATCTTTTTGTTCTACAAAAGATTTTCAAGCATAAAGAAAACATGCAATTTTTGTAAGTCACAAAATTTCATAAAGGCCTAAGGACACACACATCTTCTTAGGTCTTTAATTTATAATATGATATGCTATTACTATTTTTTGTATGTCATATCAATTGCAATTGGTGTTTGTATTCATAATATTCTTGAAGCAATGTTATTCATAGTATTCAAATATAATTGGTATAATTCCTTATTAATAATTTCAAGCTAATCTTTTGTAATTTTAATTTGTCTATTATTAATGAGACATAACTAATTTTTCTATTATATATTTGATACTTATGTTTAGAGATGATGATTATTTTAGTCCATTTTATAAAGCATAATTTAATAATCTTTTATATTAAAGCTTGAATTAGATAGACATAGTCTTGACTAAGTCTTTACAAGCATGCATCTATAAATATCAAATATATATATATTTACTCTAATAATTATCTATATGATTAAGTAGAAATAAGTAAAAATAAATTAATTTTATAATATCTTATGAAAAAGCTTCTTAGAAGCTTCATAGAGGTGGTTTTGACTTTACATGTATTTGTAGTTGATTGATAGGTTAGAAACTTTGTTAATAAGTTAGTAACATAGCATATATATTGATAGTTTGTGGAACAAGCTCACTATGTGGTCCACATATAAAAAACTTGTCTTATAAGTTAAGACATGTATCTTACAAAGTCAATACATATTAGAAATCTTATAAAATATTATCATATAGCTCCTAATTAGATAGTATGTATGGAAGTAAGAGTGAAGCCTTCTTCACTCTTATCAATATTTTTCTTGTTCTTAGTCTAGTTTCAAGAATTTATACTCTTTTTTATCTTTGGTAATAGCCATTCTAATCTTAATACTATATTACTTTTGGAGTGAATATTTATTCTTCTTGAATTATATAAGAATTTTTAAAAATTCTCTTTATTTTGATTCATATCCTTATTAGTTTGATAAGAGTGCTAATTCATTATTCTTGTCTTATTTTAGAAGTGATTAGATTATTCTACTTCAATTGTTGTATTTTGAAGATTATAGATTATCCATCTTTAAATAAATAATTAAATTTTTTAACATTGATTTTTTCTTTAAAGAAAATAGACCACCTTTTTTGTGGAAATTTTCATTTGATATTAGATGTTGTAGATTACTCTCCTCTAATTTGACTTGTAGATTTATTAAGTTATTTGAAATAGAAGAAAAAATTATGGATGCTACACTTAGTGAGAGTAAAAATGGATTTGCAACTATTGCAAATCTTTACAAGCTTGTTAACATTCTTAGAGTGAAAATTTTATGCATCACCAATGCCAACCACAAAAACACTATTCTTACA